CTTTTCCTGCAATATTATTACATGATTGAATATGACTGGTGGACTTCAACAACATGTGTGCATAAAATATTTAAAAAGATATTTTTGAAGGAACATTTTAAAAGAGCTACTCATAAAATATCAATAGAAGCTCGCATTTTTTATGTGAAAAAAAAAACGATCCATTTCTCAATGAATTTAGCTTTCTTTATTGTTTTCATTACTTAAAAAGCTTGGAAATAATAAGTGGTGCAAAAGTCTTTAAACAAATGCCAGATTCTGCCAAATCATCTTCGCAACTTCTCAACCAATGATGTTTTTCTTTTTGCTTAAAAGAGTAATATCTGAACTATAAATTTTATACGATATATATTTTTTTCTAAATGAATCAAAGAATGAGGAAAAACCAAAAATCAAATATTCCCAGGTCGATAATTACGACAATCATAGACGATCGTACACGATCGTTTACGTTACTGTAAACGCTGAAACTACGACCGTAAACAGGCCGTGTTTCACCCGTTTGGTAGCGACCATATTTCGGCCGTATAACGCCGTAACGTATACGGCGAAACACACCCATCGTATACATCAAAATCTGTGCCGTGAAACGACCGTGTTTCCACCGATACCATCGGAAACACAGGCGTATACGATCGTATTTTACCGTGAACTATTGTAATTAGCGTCACATAAGTGAAACCTCATTAATTCAATCCGCAATCTAACTTTTGTTGCCAACTTACTCTGGGTGTGGATGTGGATGTGGGTGAGTGTGGGGATGAGTGACAAGAAGATCTTATTCGCCCACCCATGCCCACCCACACCCTCAGAAGCCTTCGCATCGCTTTGGCTATTTGTGTCTGATATCTCGCTGTTCGTTTTTTCCTTTTTCTTTTTTGTCTCTCTCCTTCGTGATCTTGCTTTTGTTTTTGGCAATGCGTTCGTGTCAGAGCGAGTGAAAAGAGGAGTCAAAGAAAGGAGTCGCTTATAGAAGAACGAAGACATGACGCCAGAATGAGTGAAGTAAAAATCTCATCATACCTGAGAAAGATTCTTTCACTTATCATCGAGTAGCTGATGTTGAATACGTAACTATTCGTCAATAAATTTTGGATCTAATGGCGTCATTTGTTGTTTATCAGCGTAAGCGAGCATTGATCATCGGTATTAATAAATACTCCCAAAATCCATTGAATTACTGTATTAATGATGCCAAAGATTTAAAAACAATACTTGAAAGCATCGGATTCTATGTATCAATAGGAATCGACTGCAACCGCGATGAATTCGTTCAGATGATCGACATATTTGTTGGAGAAATTAAGACTGCTGATCTAACATTATTCTATTTTTCTGGCCATGGCAAACAACATGAGAATGAGAATTTTTTGTTGCCATCAAACTACGACTACGATCATAGTAAGAGTGAAAGTACCTACATAGTGGAGAATGCAGTTAACGTACAGCACATTATGAAGAAAATATGTGATAAACACTGTTGTATAACGATATTTATATTCGATTGCTGCAGAAAATTCTTGCGGATTAAAGCAATGGATATGCAGAAAATTTGTTAAAATACATTGCAATACCCGATAATGATGTTGAAGATGTGTTAAGAAATGTTGCTCATGATGTTGAATTACAAACCGGTGGTCTTCAAGTGTGCCATCGAACAAGCTCTCTTACGAAGAAGGTCACTCTGCTGACAAAAACGTGCGATGGAAAAATGTTCTTTAAAACTTGAGCGATTTCTTCTTCATCAAAATGAATGAATTATCGACTGCAGTAGCCGTCACAAACATGTGATGTGATCTAAAAAATTAAGATTTGATATTCCTTTATGGCTGCACAAGTTTTAGGCAAAACGAACGTTGTATTTAAATGATATGCATGTGAGATCGCAGCTTCTTGAAAAAGTACAAAATTTTGACATATTCACTAGATTTCAGCAAGCGTATATGAGCAAAATTGTCTTCCGAATGTCAAAAATAATTAGAATCAAAGATGAAGACAATTTCGGAAAGATAAAAAAGTTTTCTTTCAAAAAGAGTAAATAATTGAATAACTAGGGCTATGATAATTGCCTTTATTTAATTTGTCTTTACTACAAAAAGAATGTATTATTTTACTTTATATTCTAATTAGAATTTCTTGCGTCGATGTGATGTTCATGTCATAGTCATTGCTTGTGAATAAGAAAAAAATCGAGTTATCACGTAATAACATCATGCGACAGGCCTATTACTAAATCAAACGAATGTTTTTTCGAAAGAAGATAGATATTTAGAACTATTTTCGAGTTAATTTTGGTGAATTATCCTTTAGTTTCTGATGGTGAGACAGCAACGTCCGCAAATAAAATGAAATTTGATGCTGCAACGGATGAACCAAAGAAAAACGTCTCTGTAAGTACGCGTGTATAATATTTGTATAAAAAAGTTTATTTTATTACATTCCGCTAAGCTTCTTCGCTTTCGTGATCAAGAGAGAGTCAATATAGTTCATCGGTGTGAAAACTTTGTGGCCAAAATCAAACAAGACTACAATATGTATGGTAAAGATAAAGTGATGCCAGTAAAACATAGTAGAAATATAATGCTTATTGGGCGAACCCGTAGTGGGATGTCGACAATCAAAAATTTGCTTGCCGATCCGACGACCGTACCGGACTCTCTAATGCTCTGATCGGAAACGAGATATCCCCAGTCTGAATCTTTCTATATTCAAGACAAACAAGTTGTTCTCAACATTATTGATACACATGGTTTGTTCGAGCGATGTGGCAAGATAGATGACATTCGTGACAATCAGGCTATCACGAAAATCATTGGAATATATGCGATTCATGAATTTTCACAATTGCATGTTATCTGTTTTTGCATGTCAGTAACTTCTGGATTGAATCAGGAAGCTATCTCGTCAATCCAATCATTGATCGACTCTTTTGTTCAAGAATTTCATCTAATTCGTGTTTGATTGTGACACACTGTGAATCGAAGGTTGAAGAACAGTTGGCTAAGATCAAACGCGAGCTGCTCCATGATCCTGATTTCAAATTATTAGCGTCATTCTTCTAATTGGGCATCTTCTTTTCAGCCACTCTCAATCGAGATGATTACAATCAAGGCAACAAAAGTCTCTTGCGTCAGTATGTTACAATATGTGAATACCGTGAGCAGTTGATTGAATTATTCACAAGTGAAATCGAACCGTTTCCAATTTCTCAGATGTTAATCAATCAAATGCCAACTATTAGTGAAGACATGCTCGACCATAAATTGAATATGACTAAGGAAAACAACTTGTTAGCGCAGTCCCTTTCGGGCTGAAATGTGGAATTTACATATATTCTTTAGCTTCATTGTACTAATATGCAATATGGATAGTATAAAATCATAAATTTTTCAATTTTCTGATAGACGCCCTTATTTTTCGTCTTCTTTGTTGCTACTCGCTCAGTATTTTTCATTTTTAACACTGCTTTTTTCTTTAATTTTACATTTCTATTATACGAAGCATTGAATTATATGGCGAACGAAGCTATTATATATATATGTATATTTATATCCATTATTTGAAACCTGGTCGCTAAGGTCTGTAATGAGGGAGGGGGAGGAGCAGGGGGTCTATCTGTAATGTTCTCTTTCGTTGCTATGGTCTATGAGGAGAGGGGAGGTGGCAACCGCAAAACCTTGAACTTAAAACTTACATGCTATTTTCTTCAAAAATATACGTGAGTTCCACAAAAATGAAGGCCGAGAACGTATCATCGCTGGATTAAGAAATAGTCAAGACAAGAAGCAAGGACAGATCAATGACTAGGACTGCCAAATTTCCTGAATCAGCCAGGAGAATCCAGGTTTTTGACTTTTCTTCTCGTTAAAAAATCTCAGGGATCCAAGAGCTGCTTTAAACGTTTTCTCCTGATTTTTCCTAGTTTCTTGATTTTTTCCTGCCTTGAATTTTATTAACAATTTGGATGATAAAGAAAATACAAGCAAAAGAAAAGACAATATTTGAGAGATGTAACAATCAACAAGAAACATCTTATCTTTGTTGATATCAGTAAAACTAAGGTTATCACTTCCATCACTAAAGTCTATACTAGAAACATATTCGCTAGATTAAAAGCAACAACGTTCTGATATTTTGCGAATGCTTTAGTTGGAAAAAGATGAAATCAGTGAAGTTTGATGGTCTGGATGTTGATGTGGGTGTCTGTATGGGTGGGTAGATATCGGTGTGGGCGTGCGTGTAGTAAAAGGAAAGAATCGCACCCACACCTTCGTTTATGAGAGACAAGATCACGAGTTATTTTTCCCTGCATTTATCTTAATTTTTATCATTATGAAGAAAAGTGCCTCTTTTTGAGAGGGTTCTTAAAAGTTCGGTTGGTTACGTTCAGTTCAGAAAAAGCACCAATCGATTTTCTCTCTAACACAAGCAGAAAGCATATAAAACTATGAGCAAAGTTAATGAGTCATGAGCGATGACATGTCGGGTCGTACAATTTTGGTATGCAAGCAGAACACAAAGACCATTAACAAACAAAATAGCTTCAGATGTGCAGAACAGAACAGAGATTTTTAAACATGGTGCCAATTCTTCAGAAATTAACAAGTTACCATTGCACTAATTATCCTATTCTTCCCAATATGCTCTTTTTTTCTCATCTCTCGCTATAAATTAGTATTGTGAGGCCAAATATCATCCCAATATTCCTCTTCAATAAACATTCTTCTTTCTATTATTCTATGCATTCATGTGTACAATATTATTTTCTTTTTTTTCCTTATATTCTTTTTCACTATATATTTCGTTATTCATTGTATGACTCATTCTTTTTTATTTGCATAATTATTGTGCAATACTTAGGAGGAAAATGACACGTAGATAGCATCAGTGAGTCAGTTGCCAGTTTTCTAACATATATATTAATAGTGGTTTAGGAGATATTAAGGTTCTATTCAATAATATAGTCCTCTCGAACAAGAAAGTTATCTGTACTAAGAACAATGCAAGTGTTTATAAGATCAGCCGAACAGAATTGGAACTTTGGTGGTAAGAGTGATGAATTATGGAATGGTTGGTGTCATGTTGAATCAAAAGATAATTTTTGGGGATGTGGCAATAATATTGGACTCACTTTACAAAAAGGTATAATTTTACAATAATATCGTAAACGTTCAATGCTTTATTTATTTAAATACATCTATAATAGGTGATAACACATGTACATATCGTGCTTCATATTACAATCCGACCTTTTATTTGGTAAAAATAAATGACAAATCAGCAAGTGGAACATTTACGTATGATCGAAGCAAACCTAAAGTCGAAGTCTATAATGCTTTTACCGAATTCATTGAAAGTCAAATCGGTGTCAAGGATGCGTAATTAATATATTGTGACATACAACAGTAATGACTCATATCTTCTAAAATATAAGTTGATACGAAATAATACTAAAAAGAAAATATAAATGGAAAGAATAATTCTATTTGGGATTTATTTAAGTTAATAAATAGTTTCAAGATGTAAGAACAGTGAAATCACATATCAAAGTGAGATGTTGATTAGTATCATATGAATTGTTGTATTCTACTATTAGCCATGTCTGCGACATATAAATTTCGTTGAGTGTCAAGTGCAACCGAAAATGGAGTATTCAGTAGATTAGCACTATTACTACTTGTACCTGTAACACTTGCAACAGTTTTCCCTTTTGATTGATCAGCTAAAAAAAAGTTGTATACGATAATTTAACCTATCGGCAACATAAACTTTACCCATGCTATCCAGCATTACACCCATAGAACTATTAAGTTTTCTTGATGAATTACCACTAATTAGCAATGACTAAACTGTTTGACGACGAATCAAAACAGATTCCTCTCGGATCGGATAACTGTGTAGAACCTGCACCTTCTCCGTTTCCTTGAGCAACGACACTACCAAAGGAGGTACATGATGCATAAGCTGATGATACGATTATTGTTCGTATCGGCTATGTAAAGTGTGCCTGTATTTGAATCACATGCAATAGCATATGGATGATCTAATCGATTGTTGGATGAGGCAGATGAACCTGAATAAATACAAGTAAAATAATCTTTAGTCGAATAATTTAATTCATCTATTCTCAAAATTTTATTTTAGAAATTAAACGAAGCGAAAACAAAAATAATTCGACATTTTTTTTTTAGAATAATTTACTGAAAATACAACTCTATCGGATCCATTTGAAAAATAATCACTTTAGTGATTTTCATGTATAAAAAAAAACAATATCGAATGTCTATATTCCAGTTAATCTCTTACTTGAACCAGCTATTTGTGTTTCTGACGATGCACCTTTCAAATATTTTTGAACTCGATGATTATCAGAATCACTAATATAGAGTGAATCACTTGAATCTAATGTTACATGATAAGAAGTATGCAATGGATTCGAAACTAAACCTGATCAATCCGTTATGTCAGCTATTGTCAAGCCTGATGAATGCCAACGAAGTTGAGTAGTAGCAGCTATTAATGAAAATTACTTTTTTATTCTATTATAATGATAATAACTAATTAATAATTTATTTTCGAAAATAATCAAATATGATTTATGCTTTTTCTTCATATAGATAGAAGACATTCTTTATATAGTTGTTTAAATTTGTCAAGCATGTTATTATGTAGAAAAGAGCAAATCTAACATGACAAACGAACACAAGAAAAGATATCCAATGTTTTCAATAAGCAAAGAAAATTTTCTTTTTATTTAAAATATTGAAAAGATAGAATCATTTTCAAGTATTATATGCTTTTTACTTGTTGTGCCAATTATCGTTGTTTCCATAACATGAATAAGTAAATAGATCGAAATGGCGATTGCTACGAAGATAAATGAAGAAATAATTGTGCTGTAAATGATAATTAATGTCTTGAAACGTTTGCTATAACTATGATTTGAATCTAATTTTGAGTTTAGTTCAGCTTGCGTTGGAATCGATGAAAGATACTTGGAAAAGATTTGCCGTTGATCTCGTTTATTGTTTAATTTAATTTCTTGTGTTAATGATCGTGGCTGAATACCTTGTGATTTAGTTGACATATTCGATTGAATATCCGACATATAACTCCTCCCATAATGTTCTTAACTATCATTTAGTGTTATCGAATATAAATAAATAACATTTAAATATGATTAGAAATTAAAAAAATCCCATTTATATAATATTATCTTCGATGACCATTGAAGATTAATTCGTCTTAGAACAATTGGCACACGATTATATTCATATTGGGAGGATGTGGGTGTGAGTGTGTGGTGTGGACATGGGGTCTGAGTATGGCTGTGAAAAAAAAAGAACTAAATGGACACCCACACTCTCAAGATAGGCATACACACACCCACACTACCATTCCTGAAATTTTCGTCTTTGCCAATGCGATTTGGTCAAGTTAGCTTTTTGTATGGTATTAATAGCAGTTATTACAGCTATTTTCTTCATAAAAATGCAAGAATCGGCCAACTTGACCAAATCACATTGGGCAAAGACGAAAATTTCAGGAATTGTAGAGCTAGGTGTACTAATGAAGCTGCACTATAGAACAGCTTTTGACATTCTCGTGGTTGTGCCTGGGAAAGGTCCAAAGTTGGCAAAAATTCGAAAGTCAGTCCTAAAGATGACTTTACCATTCGGTCCTGGAACATGCTACAGACCTGAAAGTTTCGGCATTAGATAGAGAACAGTTCGACAGCCCTAAAGTACTAATAAACGTAAATCATATGTTTGGGCTTCATAGAGATATTTGAGCCCTAAAAACGTCAAAAATTAGCATTTTTCTATAGCAATTTTCCAAAAAACATAAACACGGGAGAAAAAGACCTCCGCTACAAAAAACGATCATCTCAGTGAGTAGTATATATGGTAAAATTTTCAGACTTCTATCGTTTGAAATAGAGGGGCAAGCTAAGGACCAAGTTGACCAGGAAAACCCACATAACGCCCCCCCCCCCTTTGGCCCCCTTTGCAAGGTTTAAATTTTTTTTAAGTCTACGGCTATGCTTACAGTTACAAGCCCTACAAACGCTGAAAGTTTCATTTCATTCGGTTAAAGTCGATGTAATGGTAGTACGTTTTCGAACGAACCACCCTATTCTCTTCAACTTTTTTTAGAAATATTAATTTTTTCAATTAATCATTGAATTCAAGTATTGTTTATATCTATCAGTACATATATTCAATCCTTGGCTTTTTTTCCTATCAATATTATTTATACATGACTAGTATTCAATTAATCTTATCATTTTACTTTCCCTTAAATATTCACTAATAGAAAAAAAACATCAGTATTGATTTTAAATGCAGATCTTTGTTTTCCAAAATGAGAAAATAATTCTACTAAAGTGTTCATATGATCGATGTCATCTTGGCTAATTTTGATAAAAATGAATTGCAAACTGACATATGTACAATCTAATTATAGATTTTAGATCATATTTTAATCGAGTTGAATCAAATGTTGCATATATCATATGTTTCATAGAATATAAAATTTCTTCTTCTATAAAACCGTAACTCATTTTTTAATAATCTTACTGATTTATTTCGTAAATAGTAATTATTGTTTGACCATTATTAAGAGAAAATGTTTACATCTTTTATTTCTGAAATACTTAATTGAATAGAATTTTTTTTATTAATCCATTAATTAAATGTAAACTATTCAATTGTACAAAAGAATAAGAGAATTTTATGTTTTTCTTATTGGCAAAATGAATCGAAAAACAAAAACAAAACAAAGTCTTGATTTAATATATGAAGTAAAAGTGGAGAGAAAATTTATTATTTATTTTATCAATTTCGACGTTTCGAACTACTAAGTGTTCATTTTCAAGTTCACGACCCAGTACATTGAATTATATCAATATCATTATAATAATATAATATCAAGTACCATCAAATCCAAATTTTTTTTTAATGATTGAAGCTCAAACACCACCAGGAATAATTTGAAGTATTTTATAATATAATATAATATTATTATATTGATATTGATATAATTCAATGTACTTGGTCGTGAACTTGAAAATCAACACTTAGTAGTTTGAAACGTCGAAATTGATATAAAATAAATTTTCTCTCCGCTTTTACTTCATATATTAAATCAAGATAAATGCTCTGACAATTGAAACAAAATATTTAAAACAAAATCTGATTATCTATTAAGTACTGTTATGTTTGTTTTTCATTATTTTTATCTTCACAGTTATTGTAAAAAAAAATACGAAAGATTTATTAATGAAAAAATAAAGAAGAATTGGCCATTGAATATTTGTAAGTTAGAAAGGAAAAAAAACATTATTTATCTTGTCATTTTATAAATCATTTAAAGAGTAATCAATTGATAGTGATATTCAAGAAAAAAAAACAAATACACTAAGTTTTTTTTTGAGAGACGTTCAGAATTTCTACGTGCCTCTTCTAATTCATAGCGAGGTACAAGTGCTTTATAATGTGTACCGACATTGACAAGAAATGCTGTATGTTTAACATATCCATCACGTGGATTAACAACAGTAAGTAATTCTCCAGCACGAAAAATAACCAATTGAATATGATATCTATCTGCTATAGCCATATTGGCCATTTCATCTCCGTAGGTATTTGGATCAGCCATTGATATTGTCCAATCTTTCAATTCTTTCTCACTTACTTTTTCTCCCGGTCTTAAGACAGTTGAATAATAGTCTATAACACTTAATACTTGTTCAATAGCTCTTTCATGTAATTCACTATGATACACATCAGATTGCTGTAATCCTACATTTAAAAAATCTATTTGTTAATAATTAGAATTTCTTCAATAAACATACCAGAAATGAGAGTGGCTCGGAAGGCACATGCCTAATAAAGATAGGATAAAAACTAAAAATAACTGCAGATATATATATATACAGTGGGTACCAAAATTGATCAACCACCTTAATCAATTTTTTTGTTTTGTTCATACCTCAGAAGCTAAATAAGCTAGAACCGTCTGGTTTTTGTCATATACTAGTTCATGGTCTGT